CAACTCTCTGATGCATAACAAGTGATTGCAAAGACCATGGCCTGTATCAGGCGCACCTTAGTCTCCAGAGAGACACCGTTGCTCTTGTACAGTCCATGGTAAGCAAAGGAAAATAATTTAGCCACAAACACACAGCCTCTGACTAAATCTCAGCATATAAAAAGGTGCTTTTCAAGGGAACTCTGGTGGTCTAGTGGCAAGAAGCTGCACTGCAACCCCAGAGGTGAGCAGTTCAAACCCACCAGATGCTCTGCTGGAGAAGGAGAGACAATCTCCTCCTGTACCAGTCAGATCCGATTTGACGGTACACACATAAAAAAAAAAAATTAAAAAAAGAAGTTGCTTCTCTAGCCAGTAAAATATCACAGCTTCTCCTTAAAGTGTTCTAAATAATGTATACACTAGTTAGACACACTGCACAATGTCTGTCAAGACTACACACAGGGATCTTTTTCTGTTGTATTTTCTAAATGGTTATTGTAGAGCCAATAATGGAAGAGCTGTAGGTTTTTAAATATTCATCTTAAACAGAAACCATCTAACAATTTACTAACTGAAAATCCTACCACCTCTAGGGACAAGGAGCTGTGCTGCCGTCCCAAAGGCACAGGGTTCAGATCCACCCCACCTGCTTCCCAGAAGATGGGCAATCTCCTCCCATGCCACTTACTGCCTCTGAAAACCCACAGGAGGGACAGCTAGGAGTTGGTTCCGACTGGTACACAGCAACCACTAGCTCTAAGCAGCATCAGTTGGGTCTCTTCATTTCTAGTAATTTTACACTGGTTTTGTTTTTAATGTTTTTTATTCTTTTGTGTGTGTGTACTGTCAAATCGGATCTGACTGGTACAGGAGGAGATTGTCCCTCCTTCTCCAGCAGAGCATCTGATGGATTCTAACCGCATACCTCTGGGATTACAGTACAGCTCCTTTCCACTAGGCCACCAGAACTCCCTGACAGCTACTCTTATATCACCAATAACCCAAGGCCTTCCTATCTCTGAGAAGCCGAGGTTTGACACTCCAGAAATTAAGTCTTCCCCTTCTCTGGCTGCCAAGGGGTGCTCCTGGGAGGCTCATCAGCTCTCAGGGTTGCCCCACACCCTCTGCACGCTACACTATCTCATCCTTTTCTTAAGCACCAGTTGTTGCTAAGAAGGAGCTGCCTGGATAATCTCCTTGTCAATCAGGCTTCTCGTCTATCTGCTACTTGTTAAAGGGTTTCCTGCTCCATAAAAATAATCTGATAAGAAAAAAAATGGAACATAAAAAAAAAAGGAAAAGCCAATCATTTCAGGCAAAATGAGTTATGCTTTTCCTTCTCTGCAAGTACAAAGCTGAGTAACCACCCTGATAATAAGACGAACGAGCAGGCTGCAACCTGTGTAATTATGGGATCACTGCAGGTTATGAGAGCAAATGCTCTCCTCTCTCTGTCCCCTTTGGGGGAGGGGAGGGGTGGCTTAACAAGGACATGCAGAACGCCCGCCCGCCTTAACTTCGGGAAGGGCTCAATGTAGACCAGGAGTCAGCAGAGTTTTTCTAGAAAAGGCCAAACAGGAGGTGGGCAAGGCCTCGCAAGCCACAATGTCTCAGTTACAACTACTCAGCTCTTCTGAACAGCAGCAGCCATGACAACAGGTAAATGAACAGATGTGGCTGTGTGTCAATAAGACTTTATTTACAAAAACGGGGCCTAGGCCACAGCTGGAAACCCCTAGTCCAGGGATACCAGGGACTGGTGGTTTCAAGCTGTGTGTGTGAGGACAGGACACGTGTACAGGAAGGGGGGCTGAGAAACGGCAGCACCAACTCCAGCTTCTCAGGGGGCCACAAGAGAACTCTGGTGGTCTAGTGAGTAAGGACAGTATAAAGTGATGCTTCCAAAGGCAGCTGGTTCAAATCCAGCAGTGGCTCCTTGAGAGACAGTGAGTAATCTCTTCCTGTATAATTTATAACCTCTGAAAATCTGGAACTCGATGACAATAAGAAAGGTAAGTGGAGTAAGTGAGGAAACCCACAAGCCTCCTTTATTCAGCTTTCATTCTCCTACGTTTGACAGCAACAGCAGTCCTGAAAAACTTGTCTCTAAGATGCTGTCTGATGTCACAGTGCATTAAGCACTGGGTTGCTAACCTAAAGGTCTGCAGTTCAAATCTCCCAGCAGCCCTGGGAGAGAAAAAAAGCAGCCGTCTGCGTCCACAACATTTACAGCCTTGGAAATCCTAGGGGCCGTCATACCCTGTGCCACAGGATCACATGGAGTCGGAACTGACTGGCGGGCAACAGGTGGGATTAGGGGGCTGCTTCTGGTTTTTCTATATTCTAAGAACAAAAAGCCTAGCTGTGGGGCACGCACAGTGGCCGCTAGAACTCAGTCCGTGAACAGACAAGACAGTGGGAAGTGAGGGACTCTGAGATACACAGGGGATGTTACGGCTATTGTCCAAGGGGGACAGTCCCCACTTGGCTACAACGCTGCCTGTCACTCAAAGTTTCCCAACTACTAACACACAATCGAAGCCCAGTAAGGGACTGTGTGAAAGGCCTGAATGTTTTAAGGCAACATATGAACACATGAGACCTCGACCACCCAGATCGGCCTGTCTTCTTTTCCCAAGTCTTGGAAGAATTCTATTATTAAAGGAGCACATGGTCTTAGTACCTTTTCTGTCACACTCTATTAAGAATCCTATTATTAATATTATTAATCCTCTAGTAATAAGCACCCAGGGAGCTTTCCTTCTCTGACAGGTTTCTGCTTTTACAAGTTTCACTGTACAAGGGGTTCTAAGCTATCTGGTGGCACAGTGGATAAAATACTGGGCTGATCACCAAAAGGCTGACAACTGAAAACCCTCAGCAATTCTACAGGATAAAGACAAACACCTTGCAATAAAACCACAATGAGATACCATCTCACCCTAGTAGCAGTGGCAAAGTTTAACAGGACAGTAAGCAATAAATGCTGGAGAGGGTGTGGAGAGATAGGAACTCTCAAACACTGTTGGTGGGACTGTAAAACTGTACAATCACTCTGGTGTTTCCTCAAAAAGCTGAACACAAGGGGAGCTCTGGTGGCCTAGTGGCAAGAAGCTGTACTGTAATCCTGAAGGCACATGGTTCGAATCCACCAGATGCTCTGCTGGAGAAGGCCAGGAAATCTCTTCCTGTGCTAGTCGG